GATGTTCCAATAAAGACATTTTACAACAACTGCTATAGGTCCATATTACATTCTAAAAGAATATTTCAAAGCAGTACAGCAATACATGTGTAAATGTAAGAAACATGAGAAACAGTTCTTTTTTCACTCAAGTATAGTACTGCATGAAAAGCAAAAAATAATTGCACAGAGTAGAATAATATTTTCTATGAGCTCCTGTTTTTTCAGGTTAGAGTTCAAGCTAGCGTTTTTGAGGCTTTACATTTCAGAACCACGTCACAGCTATTGAAAGTAAATAAAAAGTGCCTGTGTTTATGCTGCATTCCATTTGTGTTAATTCACTTATCCCTGTTTTGTTTACACTCTCAAGTGTTATTTATGTCCTTGGATATCCTTACGTAGTGTAAGCAGTGTCAACAAAGTCTTGATCTAAACACTACCAGAACTCGTCATATAAAATATCACCTCACTGAATCGTTTAAATTGTGTTTATATTAATATGGACTTGACACCTTTTCCTGTTTCTGTCTCTCTTCAGGTTTGGTCAGAGGTTTGGATATTTCTACCTCAGGGGAGACGTTTGTAGAAAAGGCCAGTGGTCAGAGTGCGATGCTGGAGTGCCGCTTCAATGTGGCTCCTGGTGACTCTGGACCACTTGATATTGAATGGACCTTGCTGGCATCTGACAACCAGAAAGAAGACAAAGTGGTGAGTTTAAGCTTTCTCTCAAAAGAGGGAAAATACTCTGGCCTTCATCTAACAGTTCAGTCTATACATCGCCGTCATTTAAGCTGCTGTTTCTACTTAACTTCTGTGTTGAGGTGGTGAGCAAGAGAGAAATGTTCCATGTTGGTTGAGTATTATCTATTGGTATTGCAGTGTTACATAGTAAGCATATGATAAGGTGTAATTTACACCATGGGAATTCTGTGCAGCATTTTCACAGACACAAAGTGGGAGTGAAGGGAGCTCCCTTTTCTCCTGGCAGTGTCTCTCTTTCACCCAGCACGGCCTTCAGCCATGGAAAAGGGAGGACTGCACAACTCTGCACCAGCTCCAAATGCCCTCAAGGCTTTAATAACTGTAGACACGGAGTCTTGCTACAGAGTTTCCCATTGGTGCCGTCCTTCTCCTGAGCTCCCTTCTCTCTCCAACTCTTACCTGCTGCAAACATTTCCTCTTTCTTTCTTTCATGCTGCTCCCAGTTTAAAACCAAGATTGTATCAGTAAAGTTATACATGCAAAAAAACAAAACAAAACAAAAAAACAACTGTGGCACAACTACCACTGTGTCAATCCCTGATAAATGGCTTTGATTCTTTCATGCTTTGCCATAAATGTGATGGATTCAAATTTTATTTCAACTGACTGGCCAGCTTAGGTCTCAACCCAAAGGAGTGTACATTCCTTTGTCTGCACACTCCTTTATCTAATGCCAAACAAATAGCGCAAACATAGTGCCCCTTCTCTCACTGCATTTGTTCTTCTTGACTTCACCAATTTGGCTCAGTATATACACACGTACTATAGGAATAGCCCTAAACCAATTTGCAGTCATGCACTACATATTTATATTGTAATTACTGGTATAGCTATTCTCAGAGGCTGATTTAAAGGCTGTGACAACCTTCACTGGCATTAAGGTGATCAGCTAAAGCTATGACTTCAGGGTTTGTAAATGGGGTGAAGAAAATTCTTAGAATCTCAGTAGGCATATACATGTGGCTTTGGAATAATCTAATAATAATATAATAATAGTATATTAATAATAATTCTTATTTTGTTAGCATACACCAGTCTTTTATCTGCTGTGACAATGGATACTAATATCATTAACACTGTGCTAAATTATACCATTATTGACGCAGGGTTTTATCAGGAAACTTGACACCTGCAATTGTGAGACTCTCTTCTTCTTTTCCTTTATCTTGAAAATCTAGACACAATGTAATGAACATAACATAATGAACTGAGATCATGTTTTCTATGCCTATAAAACTGCCTTTAAATGAAAGATGGAGATGTGTTCACCATGATTACACATCGATAATAGGTCCTTTGTGGTGCGTCATGGTTATATTTCATCACTATCTGATTTAAAGAAATAATAAAATTAGAACGGTTGATTATTATCAGTTCCTACTGTTAAAGAATGACCACTTTTAGGCCTGCTTTGTAATGTGTGTGAAATACACAGGACATCATTTATTTTATCTGTTTAATCCATCATCAGGTGGGAATTATACTTTGTTTCACTTAGAATATTATTCTCCGGTCACTGAGGTCTGCGTGTGTGTGCTGGAGCTTTTGTGATGTGAGTGCTGGTTTTATTCGGCTCGCATGAGAGATGCCAGGCATGCCTACAGACACAGTCATGTGCATTTGTCTCTCATTCCCTGGCTACAGTAGCTGAAATGAGGGTGTGCCCCAAGTCTTTGCCACAATGAGAACAATGTGAGAAAACAGTCGTGAAAATCAAAACTGAACTGAAGCGAGGAGAGGCTCGGACAAATACATTACGAACCCCCATGTCACACACACACACACACATACACATACACACACACTGTCTGTTTTGTCCTTGAGCAGCAGCAGCAACAGACCTCTTTGTTTATTTCACATATTGCAACAGGAATCAGCACGTGTTGATAATGTATTGGAGGGTTTGGAGTTAAAGCTATGGCCTTGTTTGTCATTGCCCTGTACATTATGTGCTTTGTTTGCATCTGTATGCGATCAATTGGATTCTGTGTAACTGGAATGAAGGACACAAACTCTGTTTCCAGGTAGTGACTCTGTTTTAACTGTGGACAGCAGCTCACAGCAGAGCAGATTTCAGCACTGTTCACTTATCTCACAGTAAACATCATTCTGTGCCAGTGATAACACTCACGGCTCTCCCTCTACAAATGGTTTGGAGTTCACAGGTATAACCTTCCTTTGCTTTGCCTCTCAAATGACCTGCACCTCTTCCACTTCCCTCCCTGAGCAACAGCATCACATGACAATGACCTCATCTTTACATGTGTCTGCTGAAACTGAGTTTCACCAATAGAGGTCTTTCATTTCTGCTGCATGCTCTCTCCACTGAGAACAGCCCAGCCAGGTGGTGATAGCATCATTGACTGACCTGCTCTGTTGTTAAAATCTCACACAAACTGCTGCGACCCTCCGTCCTTGGGAGCAGCTGCCACATCTGTTGGTAATTTGCCCTTTTCATTTCGATTACTGGGCTCAACTGAGATTGTTTTTACTTAACTTCCTTATTCTCAAGGTTATTGTGAATTCGCTTTTCTTAGTAGTGAATTTTTTTTTTCTTGCAGTGTGCACATAAGTCCATGTGAGAGGTTTTGTTCAGCTTTAGGGAATTAAATTTCCACTTCCCCCCTGGTCTGTTCACTACGTTATTAAGGCTTATGTTTCGCTTCCCGGTGAAGTTTGTGACTCATGATTTCCTTTTAGGAGACAAAAAGGAAATAACTTACCTGTTTACTGGATGAACAGTACATACACTCTCTTCATACTTTTTCTTTCCTGGCAGTTTCATAAACAACCCTTCTCTTATACTTAATTAAAGTTTTCTGTCTCCACTGATGTCCTTATTATTTTTTCCATTGCTGTAATTTAATACCTCGTGTTGATTATAGTAAAGTGCAGCCTGTAGATGAGTTCTCTTTGGAAATGTGCACGCCAGTGTTAATAAAGAAGACAATGGGTGTTTTGTCTTATGCCCTCTTTTTCTTGTCTTTATTGCAATCACGTCTGAGATGTCTCCACTCCACCCTGTCTTCATTTTTTTTTCTTTGAAAAGTTTGTGTGTCTGTAGACATGTTTGAGGAAAAGACAGGATGGCACTCCACCATGAAGTCACTGCTTTGTTGACACAGCAGGTGATGATATGGGTCCACAGTGGTGGCTTTGTTAATGCTTCCTCTTCGTCCTTGCTTCCAGAAAGTAAATACCGATAATTTTAGGGCTCTGTTTAGTCATTTTGTAATGATTTTTTATGCATCTAAACACTTTAACTGAATATCTCTTTCCTTCCCAGGTAATCCTGTATGCTGGTGACAGGTCCTATGAGGACTACTACCCACCAATGAAAGGCAGGGTGCATTTCAACGCAGCTGACCCCAAAACGGGAGACGCCTCTATCAACCTGACGGGACTGAAGTCGACAGATTCTGGGACCTACCTGTGTAAGGTGAAGAAGGCTCCTGGTATCGGCAGCAGGAAGATGCAGCTGAGCGTCATGGGTGAGTGCAACTTTTATGAGAGCAGGATAAATGACTGCTGTTTGGCCAATAGTTTTTTTTATTTTTCACCTATATGGTAAATACATGGTACAATTCCTATTTTTTCTTTAATATTGTCTTTGTAGTAAGTACCCTTGAACTACCCTTGAATAGGTCTTGTAAGATAAAATGTAACATAATAATGAACACATATGCAAAAGTCAAAGCTAATTATTATGAGCAAGATGAAACCTTGAGAGATCACATATAAAGCAAACGTGTATTTTCTTTCCACAAATAACATTTCTTAATTAAATTTTGCACTCGAATGCCTTTTTAATCACACATTATAAAATCTGTGACACACTGGAGTTGGGTAAGTTAGATGATTCATACCTGAGGCACATATGCGTTCTCTCTTTCGCTCGCTCTGTCTATGATTTACTTACCAAAACTCAGCTGGTATTTGCATGTGAGAAAAACAACCTCATGCAGGACATAGGTCTTGTGCTGTGCTCTCCACAGCCCTGTTATCAGTACAGTAGTTTCTCCTCTCTAAACATAGTGCAGCAGACTAGAAAATGGGCGACACGTTAGATTGTATAACATATCAAGTAAACAGTAGTCACTCTACCAACTAGTATAACCAGAAATATGAGCCACTGACAGGAAAGAAAAGTTTTTCTGCATGTAAGTTCTGACGTCACACTTAATCATTTTATTTGTAATTTTCATCAACAAGTGTTGTACAGCTATTGTTTAATCATTTTATACGAATATTACTTGTCACTATTTATATATTGATATGACCTAAGTGGTCAGTGGCCTATCAGTGGTCCTGACTTCCTTGGTTTGATGTTGAGGTCTTTGAATGCTTTCCTGCTGTGGATTAGAACCTCAGCTGTCCCCTAGAGTCTTCTACAGGAACAGCTTGAGGCTACTGAAGTTGACAGGCTTCTAACCATTGACTCTGAGGGCAGAGGTTGTTCTTAGCTGAGACATGTTGACAGCACAGGGTGAGGACATGTTGCCTGCTCTGCATTTTACCTTCAGGTTGATCTTGTCACAAGGTGGAAGATCCTGGGAACAAGGGAAGACGTGCATGTGTGCGGTCTAGGTATAGCTGCAGTATACTTGTGGGGACATACTGTTGGTGAAAATGCATGTTGTTTGGATTAGAATCAGGGCGAGGTTATGTTTAGGCTAGGGGTTAAATTTAAATTTGTACTGGTAAGAGAGGAATGTCCTGTGATGTCCTCAAAACTCATGAAAACCAGATTGTGTGTGTGCTTTATCACAATCATAAACACACCTATTTCGGGGCCTTGTTAGAAGAACAGTCATATACAGGCAGACATCCATTCTGGCACCTGCTGCAGTTCAGAGACTTGTCGGCTGTTTAAAGCTGGTCTTTCAAAATACCTGTGTCTGTTGCCTGTTAGTGTAAATGCTTTACTTGAACTGACAATGACTGCTAATTCTGAATTGCTAAAATGCTATTTAAACTCGCAATCTTCAGTAGAAGTAGTACATTTTTATGCACTGTAAGCTGAAGCCACAGTTACTGTATGATTGTTGAAAGTTGAGAGTCAGGTTCTCACACTTATTGTCATTCAACAATCAACCCCTCCCCTCTGACATTTGTAACCCTAATGAATACCCCAAACTAGCTTTTCTTTACTGCTTATCTTGTTCGGAACATATCCTTGTGTATCTCATAAATCTCTGTCCATACAACGCAGTCATGTTAGCCGTAGCGCACTGCCCTTTATCTGTCAGTGCTTCTGCATCTTCTGTCACCTTCTTCGTTTGACCTCATCATTCACACAAATAAATCTGCTGGTCCAACAGCCGTGCTAATATGAGGAGCTGCGTGCTACGGCCCCTAGACGTGTCGAGTTGACTTTCACCTCTAACAGATGCATTTAAAATGTCGTAGCTCTGTGACATTTACTGTGCGGCACATGCATGTGTGCGTACATGCAGCACATGTGCAACATGGAGCCAACCAGTGACTTAGAAGTTGTTCAGCCTTGGCTCTCATCGCTCCGCTGTTTGTCCGTCACTGCTTATTTATTTATTTTTTATTGTACCTCTCGCTGTGATTCCACCACTGCCCTGAACTTGTGTGTGTTATTTGATAGGTAGTCTCTCAAAGAACTGTCCGTCACAGTTAGTCTGCACATGCACACCTGTCAAACTTCAGCCTCCTCCTAAAACCCGTAAGGACAGTGTATGAAAAAGTTGGTAAAGTACATTAAAATACAGTTGATAATGTAAGAGCATTTCAGGAAGAGTAAGATACATAGTGTGTAGGTGTAAGAAAACAGAGAAAAAATATATAAAGTTTAATTATTTTTAAATTCTGCAAATAATAATTCAGAGCAGACACTTAGGACTCTGAATTAAAATGTGAAGCTCGTCTGTTTATCTTTGAACAACCATCATCACCTGTGAACCAGTGGAGCCGGTTTACTTTTAATTTGGATCTGTTTGTTTTTGATTCTCATCTCATCTCGGCTGCTGTTGACACTGAATGCTTAAATGTTAGCACACGTATTGCTTTTTATACAAAGGGTGTTGCCTCAGTCTTCTCTCTTTTATTTTGAAGTCCGTCTGCTTTTATATCCAGAGGCACACAGCCTGGCATTTTTGTGATAAAGTGGCATTTGCTATGATGACAGCAGTCGTATCACTCACTCTCACAGCTAATGCTCCGAGCAGAAGAAGAAATACACGATCATAATGTACTACAGCTCTTATTATACTCGAATAACGATTTTTTGTTTCTGTCAAAGAAATGATTTATGCCATCTTTCCAAAAGTGATAGCCATCTGGTCTCTTTGCATTTTAATTGTGATGTCAAGTGTTTTTTCCCACAATTAAAAATAGTTTTTTTGTTGTCTTTTCTCACAGTGAGGCCTTCCAAGCCACGGTGCTACACAGAAGGTTCCACAGAGGAAGGTAAAGACTTTTCACTGAGGTGCACATCAAGTGAAGGCACTAACCCCATGAAATACATCTGGGATAGAACCACTGAAACCAAGATACTGCCCGCCTCTGCCATGATGGGTAATGGACCTTTTAATAAGCTCTCTCCAACAAACAGCAAACAGTTCTACCTTCTGTTAAACTCACCCATCTTTCCTGTGATGTGTTTCACATTCCCCCCAGACTCCGACCAAGGTATTCTCAGAGTGAAGAATGCCTCCACCAGTGTGACGGGCACTTACCGCTGCACTGCCAAGAACCGTGTTGGCACTGAGGAATGTTTTCTACAGGTCAAAGTAACAGCCCGTGAGTACCTGACCAGTTTTGGGTTAACGGACCTCCTCTTAACCTGCTTCACATTATTATTTAAGAAGCGCTCATTCTCACAAAGCCGTTACCTTCGTTTAACAAAAGACATAAAATTAATGACATTAAAAACAATGTGAATGCAGTGAGTGTCTGTACTTAAGTCTTGTGTTAACATGCTGTTTTTTTGGAAGATATTATTTTTATTAGGGTAATTGACTTTGTTTATTAGCTAAGCTGTTATTTTAAAATGCACAAACCCATTAAAAACAGAAAACAGGTGATTGCCTAAGAAATTACAAATTAAACAACGGATATGTCCATGTGTCACCAAGTTAAATGGCAAAAAACCCTCAAATAGTTATTTAAAAGAATGATTCCTGCATATGATGTTACCTTTCTTAGTTAGTTTACCATGTTGGAGTGACACATTCAACATTTTCTTTTTTTCAAATCTACATTGAAATTAATTTAAGATGGTGCCATTCATGTAAAACTGGTGTTTTTTATATATAAAAAATTAAATCAAATTAGAAATGATTTTGTCTTTCTTAACACCCCCTTGTGAACCCTTAGTCTACATAAATGCATTTATTGTGATTTTTTGGCTTTTTTTATTTATACATATTCACTAAAAAATAGGCTCATGCCAAAAATAATACATTTATGTTTGGAGTTGAGTTTAAAGAAAGGCTGCACTGATATTCCTGAGGAAGAACCCACCGCTCTGTTCTATCTTCATCATTTTTAGCCACCTTGAACTGCCATTTCAACTTGTTCCTTTCTGTTTTGCCCAGCTGTCAACACTGCAAACATCATCGCAGGAACCATTACTGCTATTCTGCTGATCCTCATCATCCTCGCCATCATCCTGTTCTGCTGCTACCGTTCCCATCAAAGGAAGAAGTACGAGAAGGAGATCTGCAACGAGATAAGGTAAATTCACTGACACATCAGCGCTCCCTTTAATGGAAACATATTTTGGGATGTGTGTAAAGTCAGCCATATATAAAATTAATGAAAGGACAGAAAAACCAGTATCATGGTTTTTAATACAGGATTAGATGTCAGCGTAGATAGAGCAGCAGGGTAAATGTGGTTATTAATCTAAGATCTCTGATTGACCTTTTGCCGCCTCATACGTCTCTATCAACAGAGGGAAATGTTTTTCCACATCACACGTCCCTTTTTTTTTTTAAAACCCTCCTCAAATAAACAGCTGTGGTAATCAGTCTGAAAGCTATGTTTGCTCTGTGGATCTAGTCATGTCTGTCGCCGACTGCCCGTCCAATAACCATCCAACCCTGCATCCGGCCAACAGCTCTATACAAACCCCAGGCTTAATGTCACTCTGCTGCTGCTGCCTCAATCTGCCGCCACTGTGACACTGCTCCTGCTGTAGGACAAAGAGGATTAGACCACTGGTCATTTCTCATAAACACAGACACAAGTATTTGATAAAACACTAACAGCTTGGAGCTACGGGCTGAACAAGCTCTGCTCCCTCAGGCTCAGTTTGATTGAGCATTTAACTGGATTATTGCTGCTTATTAGTAGTTAATGTGGTGGCAGAGTCCAGGGCATAGCTCTGTTTGGCTGCATGTTTATGAGCAGCAACACAGCTAACAGTGCCGACATGACTCCATCCCTTAAAACGGTCCAGCTGCAATTAGTCCCGCCTGTTACCAAGTCAAACCGTGTCTCATCTCTGAAATGATTCATGCAGTCTCCTTAAGTGTTGATTGTTTTCATTGCTGTGGACAGTAAGTGCCAGACATTCCTCATTTTTATACCTGCACGCCGTCAAACTTCATTATGCTTTATGGCGTCTCAGGAAGCCATTTCCATATTCACTGCCTTGGATTTGAAGCTCAGGTAAGCTCATAAAAGTAAGCGAATGCTCTCGTCTGCTTATCGTCGTAACGTGTTGCTGTTTCTGTTTCCTCTCAGAGAGGACGTGCCGCCTCCTAAAAGCCGCGTTTCGACGGCGCGCAGCTTCACCGTGGGCAGCCAGCGCTCCTCCCTGGGTTCTATGTCACCTTCCAACCTGCACGAGTACGCCCTGAAACCCCAGTACGACAAGATACCAACAGCAGACGAGTACGAGAGGCCATCCAGCCACAATCCTCTGCCCCCACCCTCTGGAGCCAGAATGGCTGGCCCTAACCTCAGCCGCATGGGGGCCATCCCAGTCATGGTCCCTGCTCAGAACAGGGACGGCTCCATTGTTTAGTTTGCCGTTTGCCTGTGTAACAAGAGGAAGGGAACGAGGGAAGGGAGTAGGACATAAGCCAATGATGACGGAGAAGAATCTGGGATGGGCTAACTGACTTTGAGCTCTTTATTTTTTACCAATGGAATTTTACTCCGCTGATGAAGACCAGGCTCCTCTGAGCATATAAACCAACTGGACAACTGGAATCACAACTGAGTACACAACATTTTTATCAAATACAAACACCATAAAATCTTTAAATTTACTTCCTGGACTTTCTCACAGAAAAAGAAAAAAACAAAACTTAGTGTTAATATGAAGCTGACATACAGATTATATTGTACATATGTGAATGCATGTCTGTTTTTTTAGTATAGACGACCTTTGCTGTAGAACTCATATCCAGGCTGTATGCATGCATGTATATAATTGCAGTTTGTGTGTGCATATAAGTTGAAGTATGTGGTTGGGAGTGGGGTAAATATACAGTTCATTCAACTCCCAGCTCAACCAATCTTTAGAGGAGAACGTTTTTAATTCTAATTCTTTAAAAATTGACTGTTAAATGAAGCCGACTGTGCGAGCTTATCTGTTTATGTAGGTCAGCCGTTTTCAACTCCACACTTTAAACATTACGAGTTGTCCATTCAGGGTTTGAGTGGGGGCTTACATGGACTAGATTGGCTGACGGTAAGGAGGTGGGTCATGGCACATGGCAGCTGATTGGGCAGATTACTACTTCTTGAGCTAACTTAAATAACAACAACAGCCCCCCCCCACACACACACCCCTACGTCCCCCTCCCAATCCTCCACCCCATTTCTTTCACAACTTAAAGCAGCTGGACAATAGGGTTCATTGAGCAATTGGCGGTGATTGTGTTTGACCAGCAGCACGCTCCAGACCACAAGGACCACATGTTAACCTCCTCGAAAAACGCACAGTACTGTAATGACACATGAGCAGCGGCTCCTCATTTATGTATGAAATTATAGCCACCTCTCAGTGGTGACACACGTGGAACTTCTTTATCTGGTTTAAATTACAGCTGAGACCTTGATTAACATTCACTATATACAAACCTGTCATGGCTGGAGTAGTGTTAATTATACATTTTAATGAAGCATATGATGACAGGCAGAATGAACTAAACGCTTACAGAGTGTAATTAATTTGCAGAGTTAAATAGTGTCAACACACAGTGATATCCTCTTTGTGAATTGATCAGCTTTTAGTCCAATCTCTTTTTTTTTCTCTCTTTTTTAAGTGTTACATCTCGTCAGCCCCTTCCCATAAATGTCTTAAGAATAATTTTTAAATACTGTTGGACGCCTTACTCTCTTGAATTTAATGTCTCTTTGGCCTCAACGTTGCTGGATTCTACTAACTTTTTTTGTGCCTTGTTGCCCACGCAGAGTTTTGCTGTAGCACCAGTTCCTGCTGTGCTATGTGCAGTAGCACCATCATATCAGGCTCCACTGCCTTCAGCCTCTAGAACAATACAGTACACGGTGACATCTGTAACCCATCCATGGTGCCTCTATCAGGTCAGGTCGTACAGTCATCGCATGCAAATTAAGCCCTTCACAAAAGGTTTGATTGTCTTTGTTGTATCTTGCAAATATGTCAGTAAGTAACTTCTTTAAGTTTTTTTTAAAGAAATCTCTATTTAAAACTATTTTTTTTAAAATTTACACTATTTGGGCTCTCTGTATAAATATTCTGTCAAAGTAACGCTATCTAATCACAACACTGTCAAAAGATACGAAGATGATGTTTGTGTGTATAAGTGTACTCTGCCATGTTTGTGTAAAGCAGGTAGTGACAGGTCGGTCGGTACCATGCTAACGTTCCCTGGTGTGTGTGTGTGTGTAAGAAAGTGGGTGCCTGGTGGTTTTTTTATTATTAATATTAATTCCATCATCACAGCTAGATGTCCCAGTCATAGAAACAGCTTTGGCAGGTTGGCTGTTTTATCTGGAAGCTGCTAACGAGGCCTCCTTGAAGTATACATTAAGTTTGTCTCTGTGTGTGTGTGTGTGTGTGTGTGTGTGTGTGTGTAGGGTGCGTAAGCATGTGGTTCATGAAGGTAATTTTCTGTCACAGTGGGCACCTGTGGAGTTGTAGTTATAGACGGGTGATCCTGTTACTGTCACTGTGTGTCCTCTCAGCGCATTAACAAATACTACTAACCATATTTACTGTAGCTTTTAAATTTGCCTACTAATATCGTACGGAGGTCTCCCGTGAGGTTTGCACACTGTGCGGAAACCCACTTTTTCTGTGTGTATTTTTGTGCTGTATTTTTGAATAATAAAAGGTCATGAAATGATAAACAGGCAGTGGTGATAGTTTATTTAACATTAACATTATTTAACATAAATGTACAGTACTGCTGCGTTCTCTCTGGTGCCCTGCCACTTTTTTCCTGTGATTAATTCTAATCATCCGGTGAATTCCACCCCTTACACCGGGTGAATTGACATTCTAACTTAATGACTGCAATTAATCAATGATGTGGGTTGGCAAATGACCTGCCATTCCCAGGACTTGCTATTTGGTCCAGTATAAATACACTGTACTCTGTGTCTGAGCTCAGCTGACTACATAGTTATTCATCTGTTTCTCGTGAAATTATCTTAAGTTATTGTTTGTTTGTTTGTTTTTGTTTTTTTACAACTGGCCACCTTTATTTAATTTTTTTGGTTACAGATGAGTTTATGAGTAGAAAAATGTGTAAGAAACTGGCTGTTAGTATAGCTAAACCCTAATCACTAATTAAATGTACAGGGCCATGCTGAACTGCCTTGTTAATGACTTACAAACAGGTCTGTCCGCTGTGACCACCGCCGCCCTTCGCCTGCTCTCTATACACTTAGCAGCAAGCTGGTGATCCTGACATGTGGATCGATCGATACCTGATTATTAGCCAATAGTTCCACTGTGTGCAGGCTGCTGACAGGTAGTCAATAAAAAGACTAAAGCACTTAGTAGTGGTGCTAAACCGACAGCCATTGCTATAATTGGATGTCAGTAATAGATAGGTCCCCGGTGCATTGATCTGTGGCCAGTCAAAGTCACTCACGGATCCTAATGGCTCCCGAGCCGCTCCGCTCCTCAGGGCTCTGCCTGGGTCTTTTCAGCCATGGTGACACCAGTGCAATCTCAGCCATCGCACAAATGGACCCGCAGAGATGTAATGGCACTTTTATGCCCCTGCATTCAAAACATTCATTAAAAGAGCATTAGTGATATGTGCCGGTGCACGTGTGCAGATTAGATTTATGGACTAAACACTGTTCTCTCATTGACTTAATGTACAATGACTCATACATCATGCGCTGGTTTCCTCCAGCACAATATCAAATTGTATTCTTCTTTTTTTATATCCCATGTCCTCATTCCCATCAGTGATGCTAATCTAAAAACCTGGGGATTTATTTGTTACTCCCACTCCTCCTGCTGCCTGTGTGCTGCATTGGTAATATATCAATTGTTTGTCATAATCTAGAGAGTCTTATAGCAAAAAAAAGGGGGGGAAATGTTCTATGTTCTTGCTGTGGGTTTCCTTGGCAACCTTATCTTGTTAGGTTGTATGCAGTGGAAACCAAATGTTGGGATGATTTGTCTTGTAAAGTGGGGTCTTATCAAACTATACACACTATAGACATTCGGCTCTGCTGTCTTTAGAATACTGCGTCCTATTCACTTATGACATGCTGTAATGTACATGTGCAGAGTAAGAGGCTCTATCTGCTCAGCTGCATGTCAACCTTTAATACTGTGAGTGCTCTAAGTGCTCATTGATATGACATGATTCCAGGTTGTGGTGTGAATCAAAGCTTTTACAGGCACATTAGGGTAAAAAGCCACTTCACTTTACCTCCAGATTTTTCTTTGTTGCAATTCTATTTAGCAATGTATGCGAATCCTACACCTCTCTCAAAGGACACTTGATTTTCCTAATATTCATATTCACCTTCATCACTGACCAGCACAGAGGCAGAGGAGCCACAAAATATGTATATTAGGGAAATCAAATATCTCATACATTGCAAAATAGAATTTACTTAATTTACTGCCACCCACGGATTTAGAGTCTCCCCCAGAACAGCTGGGAAAAAATACAAGTAAAATCTCTAGACGATGACCAAAAGCTGGGCTTCAAACCTTTTTGCTAAGGCAAGAGCACCAGCCACACTGCCATCATGTGGTCTGCAGCTAACCTAATTAATAAAGTAGTATATCTGACATTTGGAACATGACTTCAAATGAAGTAGAATAGGAAGAAGAGTGCAGTGAGTCACTATGCAAACACCAGCCTTGTCTGTATGTGGAGCCCCATGTTACAGCTGGATACTTCACATATTCTCTAGAGACGAGTTGATTCCAAACATGAGCTGATCATCCCATCCTGTCGTGTACGTCTGCAGACGGTCCAAATCTCTCCTGTGGCTCACCCAGCTGCTGTGCACTCATTTGTCAGGCTTCCTCACGTTCCAGTCTGTGAGGATGAGAATACTCATCCCCCATCTTCTACCCCACCCCCGGCCACCTCCCTATCCTTCGTCCTCTACCATTTTCTCATTCAGTCGATATGGAGTCATCAGTTAAAGGCTGACCTCCAAGCCCGTTCGCACCTCTGCATCATCTGAGGTCACTATTCTGACCCCATGCCTCTCACATTTCAATGACGTTTGATGAATGACCTTCCCCTCTGTGCTGCAGAGAGAAGTGTTAAGCAGCAGTAGATGCATGCTGAGATTATGTTCAGTCCATCAACATCATGTTATTTCAAGACCCCCCCCCACCCCCCCACTGGGGGGCCCGGTGCAGTGAGTTTCGTGGATCACTGAGGTGATGCTCGTCTGCTGCTGTGACATTTTATTCACTGATGGGAGAATGTTGCCGTGTGGTGTGACCAAAGAAAGAGAGCAGCACTTTGGTGCTCATTACTGTGGACACCCCATGCGTGCTGAAACTATTGTCACCAGCCATGATCATCAACCTGCTGAAGAGCTGGCTATATATATATATATATATATATGTATATATGTATATATGTATATATATGTATGTATGTATATATGTATGTATATATATGTGTATGTATATATATGTATATATGTATATGTATATATGTATATATGTATATATGTATGTATATATACAGCTACAGTGAGTTTGTAAATATTCAGACCCCCTTATATTTTTCATTCTTTGTTATATTGCAGCCATTTGCTAAAATCATTGCTAAGTTCTTTTTCCTCATTAATGTAGACAGAGCACTCCATATTGACAGAAAAACACAGAATTGTTGACATTTTTGCAGATTTATTAAAAAAAATGAAATGTCACTGTGACACTGAGATGGTTCTACACCAGGGGTGCCCAAACTGATCCACAAAGGGCTGCTGTGGCTGCAGGTTTTTGTTCCAACCAACCAAGAGCAAATAGTTTGACCAATTAGCTGTCTGAAGACCAGTTGGGCGTGCCTGTTCTACGCCTTCATTGGAGTCCAGCTGAGTTTGATTATACTGATTGGACTTGATTAGGAAAGCCACACACCTGTCCTGACCTTACAGCTCACAGTGCATGTCAGAGCAAATGAGAATCATGAGGTCAATGGAACTGCCTGAAGAGCTCAGAGACAGAATTGTGGCAAGGCACAGATCTGGCCAAGGTTACAAAAAGAAAAAATGCTGCTGCACTTAAGGTTCCTTAGAGCACAGTGGCCTCCATAATCCTTAAATGGAAGACGTTTGGGATGACCAGAACACTTCCAAGAGCTGGCTGTCCAGCCAAACTGACGATTGTGGGAGAAGAGCTTTGGTGAGAGAGGTAAAGAAGAACCCAAAGATTACTGTGGCTGAGCTCCAGAGATGCAGTTGGAAGTTGGGAGAAAGTTGTAGAAAGTCAATTAACACTGCAGCCCTCCACCAGTCGGGGCTTTATGGCAGAGTGGCCCAACGGAAGCCTCTCCTCAGTGCAAAACACATGAAAGCCCGCATGGAGTTTACTAAAACAACACCTGAAGGACTCCAAGATGGTGAGAAATAACATTCTCTGGTCTGATGAGACCAAGATTGAACTTTTTGGCCTTAATTCTAAGCGGTATGTGTGGAGAAAACCAGGCACTGCTCATCACCTGTCCAATACAGTCCTAACAATGAAGCATGGTGGTGGAGGAGGCATCATGCTGTGGGAGTGTTTTTCAACTGCAGGGACAGGATGACTGGTTGCAATTAAAGGAAAGATAAATGCACACAGCTAAAATAAACAAGGAGTGCTTCACAGCAACTCCGTGACTGTTCTTGAATGGCCCAACCAGAGCCCTGACTTAAACCCAATGGAGCCTCTCCGGAGAGACCTGAAAATGGCTGTCCACCATTGTTCACCATCCAACCTGACAGAACTGGAGAGGATCTGCAAGGAGGAATGGCAGAGGATCCTCAAATCCAGGTGTGAAAAACCTGTTGCATCATTACCAAAAAGACTCATGGCTGTATTAGCTCTTAAGGGTGCTTCTACTAAATTCTGAGCAAAGGGTCTGAATACTTATGACCATGTGATATTTCAGTTTTCCTTTTTAATACATCTGCAAAAGGTCAACAATTCTGTGTTTTTCTGTCAATATGGGGTGCTGTGTGTACATTGAGGAAAACCATTGTACTTAAATGATTTTAGCAAATGGCTGTAATATAACAAAGTGAAAAATTTAAGGGTCTGAATACTTTCTGTACCCACTGTATGTGTGTGTATAAATATATACAGCTATATGCATATATATACAGATATAAGTCTATATGTATTTGTACAGATACAGCTATATGTATATATAAAGATGTGTCTTTGATACAAAGATGTGTTTATATATATATAAAGATATACAGATATATGTGTGTATATATATACATATATACAGTATAACATTTGATCACAGTAAAATACTACACCAATAAGTTCCTGAACAAATCTCTGGAAAAGGGTTCTCAAAAATGACTAAAAATACTCATTTGCCATGAAATATGTAACTGTCTATTGTTGTGGATAAAATTCAGAAAATATCACCAAAAACATGCCTAAAATCCATAAAAATAAAAAGTCCC